ATAGATAGATAGATAGATAGATAGATAGATAGATAGATAGATAGATAGATAGATAGATAGATAGATAGATAGATAGATAGATATTCTTTGAGAACCAGCTTGAACTGGTTGAAGCAAAATGTATCAAAACAAACAGAATGGCAGTATCTGGATTAATAAAATTCCTAGCTGTGCAGTAAAAGCAAATTATATTTATATAATGGGAAATTTCCCTTGAAGTTCTTAAATGGAAAAAAAAATTAGAATGAAGGAAAAAACCCATACATTGTTGACCAAATAACTGTCTCTTTCAGTGGTTATTGTAATTTTAAAAATGCAGGTCTAAGTATTATTAACACAAAGACAATAAGCTGTTGAGCAGCAAAAAGGAATTACTGGAAGTCAGTGCAGAAAGTTAGTCAATGTGATAACATGTCCTCCCAAACATAAAGAACAAAGTTGTAAAACCCAATTATAAGGGTTCGACAGAGATTCAGAAGAAAAAAATAACAGTTCAGAAGTAAATGTAATCAAAAAGAGATACTTATACTTAAGTCCAGCATAGGAAGTTCTAACTGGCAAAACATCATAGACTGTGCTGGCATATGAAGATTTATAATCCTCTGGGTTTGCCCTCTGGAACCACCCCTGAGGAAAATTGCTCTACAGCCAGATTCTTGGCAATTAATAGTTAAGAATACATCCTCCTACAGTTAGGAAAGACATAGATGGGATAGACTCTACACTGTAGAATCTGCTGCCTCGTAGCGAGCTGCCATCTTGGAAAGCTTTGGCTTTTAAATTAGTGCCCAACACATCCCATCTGATAAAATCCTTGCTGTGACCAATGCACCTTCAGTGAGAGAAAATACCCAGCCTGTTAGTTCTCCACATACAACGTAAGCAGGCCTTATTACTTTACTTCTGAGTATATGCCTCCTCCTTAGGTAAATTACTTATTTCCACCACAGAAGCTACAGTAACATCTTAGACCCAGAACAGGTCTAAGTTTCCAGAATAGACTTTCAATAGAAGAGAATATGTGTGTATGTATGTACAGTATATGTGTACTCTATCTGTCTGTCTGTCTGTCTGTCTGTCTGTCTGTCTGTCTGTCTGTCTG